AGGAAAGTTCGGCATTGAATTTTAAAGTGGCGAAAGTTCGTGCAGTATACATACAAAGTACCCTATTTTAATTTTTAAATGTATTAAAGACCTTTTAGTTGTTCAATAAATTTATATCGGGGTACATATATACATGTGAGTGTTGGGCAAGCTAGAGATTTTTCCATTCTCAACATCCCCTAGCTGGGTACGGGTGGGGAGGATGCTTGGATACAAATTTATCTAAAAAAATTTAATCATTTTTAAATTAATTTTTTTTTTTAAATCAATTCTAACTCAACTTTACTCTCATCAATATAATTAAATAATATCAATCAATCATTCTTACACACCACGTCAACCTTAATTCACAATATATCCACTAGAACTAAATATACCAACTTTTTCAAATATAATTAACCCAAACCAAAAAATTCAATCAAAACCAAAACTTTTTATATCCAAGCAAGTGTATAGACCACAACTTCCATAATAATGCAATAAGAGTATGGATAACCAATTCCTTCCTATATATTAATTCAAAACGTGTTAAGCCTAAGTGGCAGATTCACAAGCTTCAGATGTTGACATGACGAAAATTAATGCTTCGGAAAGTTGTTTGTATATTCATTTTTGCTCTGAAATTTGGCTTGGTATAGACATAAATAACTTTTTTCAAACTTGGTATGTGTAGATTTAATTTTGTTATTTTTTTTTTTTCTTAGTACAAATTTCCTTCTTAGGTTAGCCAAGTAGCAATACATTCATCTTATAACTTTCTCACATATTTCTCTCCTAAATTACGATTTAGGAATCCCTATCTGTACTGTCTATTCCTCATTTTTTTTCATCAATTAAACCATCAAAATTTTTAAATATTTTTTTTATTTTAGCAATAACTTTTATCATATATTTTTACCTCAACACCCGTGTAGTACACGGGTATTGTACTAGTCTATATATTAATTAATAAAACATGGGCATTTATTTTTAGCTACTAAACTAATTTGTTCAATATAAATTGTTATAAATAATACAAATTGGCATTCTTTGTCAATTAGTTGTATCATATATAGCTGATTGTATCAGTAGACAGTGGATAAGCAAATTGTATTATTAATCAATCCGACTAACGGATTCAATTAGAAAACGAGTTCAATAATATTTTTTTTAAGTCATCAGCAAATTGTAATAAGAAGGATGGATTATGACCCTTCCTCATATATTCTGGTATAGTGTGTATACAATAATATCCAAATAAAGAAAAATACCAAAACTTGACGTCCAAGCAACCCTCAAGTTTTCGTTCTACACACCAAATAAATTCTCCCTTACACACAAATATAAGCAAGAAAACAAAACCCACAAACCCTCCTCTCTTTTTTATTTTTTGTCCCTATTTCTAAAGAGTTTTTAACTGCACATCAAAGCACAAAATAAGTGGCACAAGAAAAAGGTTTTTTGGTTATAGCTTGAGAAAAAACGTGTCTTTAAAGTGCAATTATTTCACTTTTTTTTTTTTTTCCTTTTTTATTCCTCTCTCTCTCTAACTATCTTTAATTTTTTGTTGTCATATTTATTACAGATGAGCATAAGAGGAGCAAATTAATTAGAGAAATGACATGGTCTAATAATGATAAAGAAGCTTCCCTTCAAATTATTATTCCAGCTGGCGAGGAAAATAATATTGTTGCGAATTCGAAAGATGATCAAAATAGGACTATAATTTGTCCTTCGTGCGGCCACGCCATTAAAATCCAAGATCAGGTTAGCTAATTATTATAAATCTATATTTTGTTATTAGTATTGATGATTACGTGAGATTTTTTTTGCTAATTAAAAAATGATATTTTTTTCTACTATTTATTTTTAATTAAATAATTAGAAGGGGCTTCAAGATTTACCGGGTTTACCAGCTGGGGTGAAATTTGATCCATCAGATCAAGAAATACTTGAGCATTTGGAGGCTAAAGTGTTTTCCGATAAAAACAAACTTCATCCTCTTACTGATGAATTTATACCAACTATTGAGGGTGAAAACGGTATTTGCTATACTCATCCGGAGAAATTACCAGGTATGCTTTTAATTTTATTATTAGATGTACATATTTTTTTCCCGACTATTTCAATTTTATAATTTTAATAATTTTAGACTGTTATTATAAGATTGATTGTTTTGGACGTCTTTCTCTGTGTATAAAGTAACATGATTATTACAGAAATTTGGTTTATAATTAAGAAACGTCTGTTTTTGGTAGTGTTTCATTTTATAATGTCATGAATAATTTCGCAAGGTTTTCACATATTTTATTCAACTCTATGAGGAAACATTTATAGCATGGGAAATGAAATTTATTATTGTGCAAATTTTTCTTGTTTTAAAACATTACATCTAATTAAGCGTGGGGATTTTTCTCGTCTTATGAAATTGGATATTTGTTTATTTTAATTTTAGTTTTTCGATAATGCGGTTTTAATACCAGTATTGTGATGATCTAAGTTATAGTAAGCTATTAAAAATATTCATAANTGGCGTCAACACCAATATTTCATGTAGCGGGCGTGTCATAAAAAAATAATAAATAAATAAATAAAATCAAATCAAATCAAATTTTACATATTTACATATTTTATTTTTTCAGTCAAACCTCATGGTTCACTCTAATTTTTGTAAGTTATTTGATCCACATTCATTAAGGTATATTTTTTGTTACCCATGTTAATTATTCTTGTCCTCACCTTCAAGTTTACCAAGATGGCAAGATCTGTGGTCGAAAATAAAATATTTTGTAAGAAGTCGTGCATATCAAGCGTACATCCAACTAATCACTGAAAATCAAGAAAATCCAGGGCCTTAATACTAATAAACTCTCTCTTGTAGAAAAGGTTATTTATTATGATGAGAAATGGAGTGAAAGATATAATAACTCACATTACTAACCACGTGATATTTTCATTTGCTATAATAAGAATTTTTATATTTTCAAGCTACCAAGAAATCCTGCAGCTAGCGACAAAAAGCGTAAACACAAATTCTTGTATGAGGCAGTTTCATTGTTAGACAGGTCGATTTTTATATTCTTTTAAACAAAAATGCATACTTATGTTATACTGTTATACTTTCATTTATATTATTTTTCAGTATGCCGTTCAGTCTAAAAATATCTACATTTAATGAAAATATATGACTACCTATTCATTAGATTTTCCTAAAGCCTTATATCTTACTAGAAATCATGTATATGTCACAAGTATTTGTATATATATAGAGAGAGCAACTCACCTGTAACATGAAGAAACACATATAATGGCTCTCTATTCACATGTTACTAGATTCAAATTTTATGTTCACCATAGAATTTTTGTTGTTAATCACAAAAACCTAGCTATATTGTACGTGGAGAACAAAATGTTTTTGTTAATCAATCTCCTTTTCTGTTGAATTTGAGGAAATGTAACACTTTCTTGTAATGAAAACATCATTGACAACATACATTTAATTTCCATCATACAATGTTTTCTTTCTTTCTTAGTATCACCTTTTGGATTGGACTTCATACATATTATCATAACAATATAGGTGTAAGCAAGGAAGGGCAAATCCGTCATTTCTTCCACCGGCCCTCCAAGGCCTACACAACCGGCACGCGCAAGCGCCGCAAAGTCCACACGGACGCCGATGGTGGAGAGACCCGTTGGCACAAAACGGGCAAAACCCGACCCGTATCGACTCTATCCGGAAAAATCAAGGGCTACAAGAAAATCCTCGTCCTCTACACAAACTACGGCCGGCAAAGAAAACCCGAGAAGACTAATTGGGTCATGCACCAATACCACTTGGGCAACAATGAGGAGGAGAAAGAAGGTGAACTTGTGGTCTCGAAAGTGTTTTACCAAACGCAGCCTAGGCAGTGCGCCTCGTCATCAATATCCAACGCGGATAAAGACGAGCGTTTTGGGAAGTCGAGTGGCTCGACTAATAATGAGGCGGCTAAGGAGAGTTTGTTGATGAAAAACACGGGCTTTGTGGAGTATTATAATCGGCCGTTTATTTCTTCTTACGGGCCGAATATTGATGGTGGTGATGGCCCATCTATGTTGATTTCGAATTTGGTCGTTCATGGTGATGGATCATCTTTCTTGGAGATGCCTTCAAGTGCAAGCAAGGGTAAATGAGGTAATTAATTAATAAGTGGTGTTGTAGAGATGGGAGAATGATGTTGGTGGAAATAAGTTGAAGGGTCTTTTGATGAAAGTAAGATGGAATAAATGGGTAATAGATTAGTAAATGTGATGAAGGAGCCCATATAATGCGCAACGTTGTATTGATAGTTTAACCTTTATCTTACATTTCTATTTTAGGCTACCATTTTTTTTTTATCTTTCTTTTCTTGGCTGAGAAATTGTAAAAGTACAGTTACATAGTGTACCATGTTGTAAACATTATTCAAATAATTTAAATACAGTTGATATATTTTGGTTAGTCAATTGATTGTGTACTCAGCTAAATATAGTTATATAGATATATTTTCATCTTCGCACAACGAAAATAGATTCTCCCAATTATATTAACTAAGGCGTAAATTGTACATAAAAAAATATCATTATACAAAATGGACACTAAACAAAACAACACGTGTGCCAACGTAGATCATCATATAAAGATGACAGCATACGCAACAAACCCCATTGAGACAAACACCACAACTCAATACCAAATCCACAACAAAACACAATCTCAATGTTACCTAAACTAAAGAAATAAGCACACCACACCAACTAGAGAAACAAATCTTTCACATCCAAACCAACAATAACAACTTCAGCACTAACATTAACTTTAGGTTCTAAAAAATCTCAAAACCGATCAGAATACAATATACACCAAACGCCACAAAACAAAGTCTAAGAAAAAAAGAAAAAAAAATAAAAAAAAAATCAATATTTCTTCAGCACGCATCTCTCATATAGAGCCAATATATCCTTCTTGTTCGGATTCTTCAGCTGCAAAAGCTCGGCCCCGAAATTATGGCTCGTCAGCTCCTGCTTCAGCTTCTGTACTGTAAACCTGGTGTAATCTTCCACGCTCGTCTGCTGACTGCTAACCGGCTCGTCAACCCTGAAAACCGAGCCCCCATCTTCAGGCGACGAAAACTTCAACGGGCTAGTCGTGCTCTTTGACCTCTTATTCCCCCTAATAACCCTCTCACTATTATTATTATTATTATTGACATTTGCATTTACGCCCTCGCCATCCGAGTCCACCCCCATCTCATACTCCTCAGTCCTCCCCCTTTTAGTCGCATGCGAACCCGAACCCAACTTTTCACTGAACTTAAGTCTCGTTAACTCCTGTGACAGCTCATCCAACTTAGCCTGCGTGACCTGTAATTGAACCGAAAGGGCTTCGGCCCGATTATTAGCCTCCACATGCGCGGCCCGTTCGCTGTCCAGCAAGCTCTGAAGCCCCTGCACGTATTCCTTTCTCTGAATATTGTTCGACTGCAAGAAAGTCTCGATTTCCTTCTCACGCTCCCGAACCCTCTCCTCAAGGGCCTCGACTTTGAACAAGGCGTCCCTCTCGGCCGCCAGGTGTCGCTCGGCCTCATTCGCCAGGTCAGCTTTCTGGCGCTCGAGAAACTCGGCGTGCCTCTCGGCTCTCTCGATTTGGGCGAGACGCTCCATGGCGATGCGTTGGAAATCGGATTTTTCTTTTTGGGCCGAGACGGCTTCGGCCCGGGCAGCGTCGGCGAGCTCGGTGGCCCGCTTGGCTTCCTTCTCGGCTGCGCGACACCTGTCGTGGAGCTCCTCGAATTGGTTGAACTGAGACTGGTATTTCTGGTCGAGGTGGGTTTTCTCCTGTTCGAGGCGGGAGGCTTTGTTTTCTGCCAGGCGGGCGGCGAGTTCGGCCGACTCGAGTTTTTCGGCCAGGTGTTTTGTCTCGAGCTTTAGGGTCGAGGTCTCGTGATCGTAGTTCTTGAGTTTTGATTCAGCAGCCTGTGGTAATATGACAATTTAAAATAATAATACTAGCATATATATGTATTTTGAGACAATCTAATATCTGAAGTAGGTAGCTTTTTCAGTCAGAATATGTCTCACCTTCAGTTCCAAACTCAAAGTCGTCAAACGCTGCTCAGTTTGCTCAATCTTTGCCACCTTTTCCTTTAATTCATCCTCCTGCACATTCATTACACATGAAATCAGCCGAGACATTCTCTAAAGGGGGCTGTATTCAATTAGAATTTTTTAAGACTTTTTAAGACTTTAGAAATCCTGGTGTATTTTAGATTTGTTAAGACTTTTTAATACTTTTAAAAATCTTGGGTATTTTAGATTTGTTAAGACTTTTTAATACTTTTAAAAATCTTGGGGTATTCAATTGAGATTTTAAAGTCTTACAAAATTATGAGGTATTTAACTTATTTGAGACTAAGATTTGTTAAGACTTTTTAAGATTTGGTGGGATTTCCAAAGAAAGAAACCTTATACGAAATCTCACTTCAAATCTCACCTCCAAACTTAAGATTTCACATAATTCTTCCAAAATCTGAAAATCTTAAAAAGTCTCAAAATGTCACTTACAATCCCAAAAAAGTGATAATTATCCAGATTCAGCCAAAAAAAGAAAAGTAATCTTCCGAAATTTCAAATATGGCGCAGTTTGCAATAATACTTAACAAGGGAAGATAAATTGGTGGCCTCTAAAACACACACACACACACACACACACACACACACCTTTTCTGCCAGAGCAGTCGAGAACTCCGCCCTCAACGCAGCCTCTCTTAACTGCGTCTGATTATTAGTCCGCTCCTGAATAGCAGCAGCCTTCTCAAGAGCGCTCTTCACATCCCGTGCAGCCATATTGAACTTTCGCTTCCACTCCTCAGCCTCCTCCTGTGCTGACTGTGCCCTCTCCTGGGCAGCCGCCAGCCGGGCCTCAGCTGCCGAGCTCCTCGACTTCAGCATCGCCAGCTCAGCACCAACCTGATCCCCCTCTGCCTTATGCTTGGACAGGACTAGCTCGTACTTCCTCTTCCACTCAGCTGACTCATTCTTTGCCAAGTCAGCTGCTTTCGAAAGGTTGGACGACTTCTCCTCGAGGGATGTGCACTTAGCCTGTAAGTTGGCAATGCGGGACATGTAATCGTCCGCTAGCCTCTTCTTGTCGTTGATGGCATCATCATAACGTTTGAGGTACTCGGATTTGTACTTCTCGCTGGCCTCGAGCTGTTTGTTGATAAGGTTATTTCTGTCCATGGCCGAGCGGTACTGAAGGGCGAGCGAGCTTTTTTCGGCCGCGATCTGATCTATTTGCTTCTTCATCAAATCGAGAAGAGGCCCTTCCAAACTGGATAAGATGATAAATCCATTAGCNAAAGGCTAGAAAATCTGGATAAAAGGTAAATCACTAAATTGAATTAAAATCTCTGCAAGAAGAGATCTCAATCAAGGAATAAAGCAAAAACAAAAACCCTAAAGGAATAAAAATCTGAAAAGAAAACTCTAAACATTGGGGATGTAAATGAAAAGTTGGCAATTCTGATGGGAAAGTATACCGTTGAACCATCTGGTAGAAGTTTTTTCGTCTAAAAGCAATATATACATAATGAGTGGTTAAATTGAGGCTCGAACCTTTGCCGTAGAAATAAGAATGCTTTTCGCCATTTCTCAGGTCCATAACATTTAGCTTCATAGTTGGACAACAGCTTATCGAGGACCTGTGAGGACATAAGGTGTTTACAGTTTCAACCCCTAATATCGCGACAACTTTATTTTCGACAGTGATAGAACAAAGACTTGCCTTTACGACGTCGTCTATGTTTGCCTCAGGAGCATGGCAAGCACTTCTCAGCTCCTTCTCCATATTTTCTATGGTTTTGGAACACAGTAAATAAGCCTCCCTGAAAGCATCTTTTTTTATGTCCTGCACTCAGCATTCAATCATATCAGTAACCTTGTCACATGAGTTGCTAAAACTGCAGAGGCCAAGATCCACAGTATGTTTGTAAAGTTAACTTAGCAGGCATTCAACTAATCATTTGGAGAGCTTAAGTAGTCAAGTGTAGTAAAAATTCAGTGCTGCATCCAAAATGTACAACAGACACTATGAACCTATGTTCTCTAATAAATGAAGTACTTCAAATCCGATGCAAGTAAAAGCTAGTGTTTAAAAGAAGTGTATTATTAGCATAAAAGGCATGCCTACAGCCTATCATTGGGTAAAACTTTCAAATATTCATATGAATAAATATGAAATGAAAATTACCTCAAATGCTTTCTTCACGAAACTCTGAAGACGCTTTTCGTACTTTTGCCTAATCATACCAACACCTACAGCAGTCTCATTAAATGCGGCCATTGATCTCTGAACTGCAACTTCATGTGCCTCTCTTAGCGTAGCCTACAAAAATCCCCATATTAGGCAAACAACTTATGTGTGTGTGTGTGTGTGTGTGCGTGCGTGCGTGTGAAAAACAGTAACAACAAGCAGGACTTACTTCCTCAGGAGGTTTCGAACGATCAAAGCCAGCCATGTAAGTTTCAGTACCCAATTCATAAGCCCGTTGGCATTCAGCTTCCTCTACACTCTGAAGCAGAGGAAAAACTTAACAGTAAGAGAGCTATAATTATTTGGAGCCAATTGAACATGACTCCGCCAGAATGGCTGAAAGCATGATGTTGAGGCATGGCATTAAGCCAATAGAAACAAATAGCGAAAAGAATCAAAGGCAGTAGATCAGACTGATAAGAGCCATGGCCAGATTACAGAACAAAGGAGACATTGTAAATACAATAAATATAATCCATTCTAACATTATTTATAATTTCAGCAGCCCAAATCGCAAAATAATACACACACACACAAACACACACACACACACATATATATATATATAGAGAGAGAGAGAGAGAGAGAAAGCATCTTAAAAATGGTAGCAATGGAATAAACAGATGCGGAAGCAAAAGCAGTAAACATGCATGCATATACATAGAGCAAACTAACCTGCCACGATGAAGTGATTGTAGGCACGGCACCATTATTAATAGCATCAAGGAATGATTGAGTCATACGAGCAAGGATGGGTCCCGTCATCACTGATGCTCCCATCTGCTTGGGCCTCGTCCTCTCATACACAAAATTTATCAGAGACTCCAAACCAGATCTGAATTCTGGCCTCAATTGGCTCAGCTGCATGAAACATAAATCAAGTGACTCAAGAAGGGGTAACAGGAATGATAGTACGAAGTAACCCAATACAAATGCTTCAATGAAAGTTTTTACTCACCGGAATCTGATCAAGTCGTTGAAGATCATTCTCATTGCTCAACGGCCGCACAAGAGCAAAGCACTCTCTATCTGGGAAAAGAGCTCGAATGGACTCTCGAATCTGTTAAGAAATATTAAAAAAATAAATAAAGATGGTCTCATACTCCTTAAAATTCAACAGAATGATACATACGGAACTACTATTTCTAAATTTCTAATACCAGCTACAAGTTAAAACCAAAACTTTAACAAAGTCGTTAGTTTCATAACGAACAGAGAAAAATAATATACACGTGCATGTACAACCTCATTTTTGGCAGCTAAATCCCTTCCGCTTCCCTGTGCTGATGATCTCAAAGCCCTTTCCAGGTAATCACGTGGTGTAATTTTGCGATTATCCTCCGTCAATTGTAGATAAAAGTCCTGCAAGATTGGATTTCACAACGAGGACCACAAAGAAAATCCACAATCAGCACAACTTAGTTTATGTTCTTGATTCCGCATAACCCGAGATATATAAAGCAGTAGTTCTGTCTTCTATTAATTACCCTCAGAAGCCAGACAAAGATTGGGGAGAATTGCCCCAGCTCTGAAGCAGTACTTTTACCCCCAGAGGCCCTAACACGAATATGCTTGGTCATCTCAGTCACAAGAGAAAGCCGATCAAGTGCAGCCTCATCAATACCACCCATCTAAATCAAATAACAGAAGATCCAGTTAACCATTTAGTCTTCGAAAATCAACACCTACAACTTAATATNATCTGGCAATTTCTTCTTTTACCTGGTTGTATATGAACATGCTTGATAAAAGGACAGCCAGAGAGAATATTTGTGTGCTATATGTTCCCTGTAGAAACGAGATACAGAGACAATAGAGAAAGAGACCAAAACTAAAGTGGCAAAAAGAATATAAAAAATGGCAATTTATATATTTCCAAGAATGCTGATTATAAGAGTTAAGAACCGTAATGATGAAAAAATATGCCGAATTCAAGCGTCATTGACGGCAGAACATAGAAATCTAAAGATGATATGAATAACAATAATATGAATTCATAAATTATTAATATCTCTAAGGAGAACAAAAATTGAAATATAAACTATTCAAGAACTGTATGGGTGCAATGTTGAACAACTGACTACATGAAGAAAACCTTACTGTCTGGTCATAGGCATCAATTCCTTCTGAATCCAAGAGTAATAGATTGTACTCTGTTCCATCAAGTGCAGTCCTCCTTATTGGGGCACTCCACAGCCAAAGACCTTTGGTACAAGGACGATGAGTTGGTGCAACTTGAAACCCACTGCTCCTTCCTAGAAGCTGCAAAATATATGTAAGATTCTCCTCAGTTTTATGTGATACTTAAAACAGCCACAATTGACATTTATATAGCTTTCTCGCGTTAAATGTCTTCTTTCATGCAAATGGCACTAGTAGTTTCAACTGCTTGAAACAATAAGATCATTTGTTGAAACAGCCTACTAACAACACAATCAGTGAAGACAGAAGTTCCTTAACCATTAACAAAATTTAATGTAGAAGATTGGCCTCATCCCTCAAAAAGATTACTCCAGTGGAAAATACAGATGAAGATATCATAACCAGCTTCTGCTATGACAACTCATAATATCTTCAAGACCAACCACATGGCAATAGGCATTCTCTACACAAACAACCTCAACACACCCAAGAGGCATAGAAAAGTGCATCTGCTGTCATCAGTCATAAACTCTAATTGGCAACTAAACTCTCTAAGCATACTAAAAAGAGTGTGAGTGACAACTTAAAGAAACCACCATTACCTTCCATTCAATAAGGGGTAAAAAATATGACTCGCTTGTGAAATGCCAATCTTACTCACATGGTACTCCACTCATTCATATAGGTTGCTCAAAGGATTAGCTCAGTCTACAAACCAAGTAGCAAGTTTTGACTTTTCCTTAAACAAAAGTTTCCATACTCTTCTTTAACCCAAAAAGCATTTCCCCTCACCTCTAGCCCTTACCCCCACCGCCGCAAAGAAAGCCAATTGAGTTCCCTATCTTGCACATTGTCATGAGTTTGGTACAGTCCAAAATAAAAACAAAGTTCATCACTCACAACACATGACGCCAAAATCCCTGATTTAATTTCACAAAAAATAGTAAAACCAAAAACCCTAATTCGCAAGCAAAGTATGCAGACTAGACGGAGAACATGAAAAATATGAATCAGAAACTTGTTATTGTACAAAACCGTAATGTAGCAATTACAAACAGAATAAACTCGTTACCCAACAAGTCCCTTTCCCCAAATTACCTGATTCAATATGAAACTCTTGCCCTGACGAGCGCGGCCGCAAACGGATACCACGCCCACGGGCTGCTTCACCAACTGAAGCAGCGCCACCGCCTCTGGATCCATGTGGAACCTTCCCTTCTCGTCGGCGTACACAAAGCGGATCGGCCTTGCCGGCCCAACGGACACATTAGACGCCGACACAGGAAGTGGAGTGGACGGGGACGCCGTGTGCGGAGATTCCCCGCCCGAGCCTCTGCCGAAAAGCCTCATCATGGTTATCGGGTTCAATTGCTTCTATGGATTTTCTATTTTCTGGAATAAAGAGACGAATTTGGTACAGAGAAAGGGAGCACTTTTTTTAAATGAGGGAGAGGCCGAGAGGGAAAAGAAAAAGGGCTTTTGTTGTTCGATACAGCCACAAAGCCAGGGGATGAACTGTAGATCGACGCTTGGTGTGAAATCAAATGTGGTTATTTTTTTAATAAAATTTAATTTTTATAGAATTTGATTTTTGTAACTAGTACGCCATGGGGTGCACCGCTATCTAGGCAGGCCGTGAGAGCTGAAGCTGCATCATGGACGGCATCGGCCCACCGACGCCGCGGACGGGCCCACTCTACGGTCCAGGAATGGGCCGCGCAGCAGGTAAGGGGATAGTCTCGGGCCTTGGCCCAATATGTGCCAGCACCTTTTTTTTGTTGTTTATGACTAGTTATTTAATTTATTTTTTGTATCAGTTTTTTTATTTTATATACATTCATTTTTACAGAAATACGCGCTTGTTAACGACAGTTTCAAGCGGTTTTCTTTTTGTTTTTATCTTCTTCTTCTCCTCTTATTCTTTTCTTTTCGAGGAACACAACACTTCAATTCTCCTCTTCTTTCTTCTCAATTTTTACTCTGCAGATCACAAACTCTCAAATTTCTTCCTTAATCTCTCCTCTTCTTCTCCCAATTTCTTACTTCTCGTCTCAATTTCTTTATTCCTTTTCGCAGGTCAACCTAGTGGCAGGGATCCGTGACGTGGTGCGGCGACCGCCGGCTTCAGATGGATCCGCGCCCGTTGTTCGTGACCGGTGGGGAACCTATGCAGCGAATTAGCAAATCCGCCGCCTACGATTTGGTTCTGGGACCACGTTCAACGCGCAGTCGGCCTCCAATTTTAACGAAGAAATTTTCCTAAGGGATATTCTTTTTCTGTTCAACGGATAAATTCTCACGTACACGGGTGGTACACGGTTGAGGATCTCTTCCTCTACATGTGTACAACATTTTCAGAGTCCTCTTTCTTCACTATAATGGTGTTTTTGTATATTATTTTTCATTGTTATGTTGCTAGTGTACCGACTTTCAAGGTATTTTTTGTTGTATTTTATTTTTTTTTTTACGAAACGATAGAAGATACTATATAACAAAAGCGCACAAATGTGCAAAGTACACAGCCCATGGCTGAATAATACAGCCAACAGCTGAATAAAACTGGGAGGACAGGTCTAAAAGACCGCCTAGAGACGACTAGCAAAGCTAGAAAAGAAACTCACCAAAACGCAACACCAACGACCTAACTGTGGAACGACCCCAAATGAGGTAATGTGGAACGACCCCCAACGAGGTAATGTGGGACGACTCCAACGGAGTAATCCCTTGCACAGGGGTCAAGTGACTCAAACCTAAAACACAGACAACACAAACAAACAAAAGCGAACATACGGAAATCAGACACTACAAACTAAACACACAACGCCTCCCTCAGCAGATACACCCAAAAAGAACAGCAGACAAATCGCCGAAAGCTAGGGTTGCAGAGAAAGGGAACACTTTTTGTCATTTAATTCAAGATTTTTTTTAGCGAGTGATTAATGCACTTTGAATTTATGTTAAAATGTGTTATGTTAGTTGCTTTTTTTTTTCGTAAGGTAATNTAGATTCATAAGCATGTTCTTATACGAGAAACATTCTAGATTTCAGTGGAGTCAATTTGTGTTTTATACTGACTGGATGTGTAGCCTAGTGGTTGTTTTTAATAACTTTTTTATTTTTATTTTTTGGTATTGTTTTGTATGTTAAGGGGATTGGTAGTATTTATATATTTTTTCAGTTGTTCATCAAATGTTTTTGGGTTGCGTTAATGATATCCAGTTGGTTCAATATTTTTATCCAATCTGTTGGAAACAAAATATATATTTATACATATATATGTATATTAAATCAATTAATTTAATTAATTACACAAATATTTCACATATTATTACTAATGAAAATAAGTAATTATCTTTTTTAGTATTGAATAGTCTTCTACATATTTGAAAACACCTTCAAACTGCTTCTCCTAATGCAAATGTAGATGCAACCTTCGATTTATTTTTTTAATTACCACTGGTTTCTTTTATTTTTTAATAAAGTTCTTTTTTTTTCAATTTTTTCATTTTTTTCTCTGTCGTTTTGTTGACTTTAATGTTATTTTAACCGACAAGTGTCCGTTTTTCAAGGGTGGTTTTTAATTCAAACATGTAGAAAATGATATGGTCTTACGAAATTTCATATTTCAACAGTTAAATTTTTCGCCTATTTTACTAAACCAATATGCATTTATATAAATGTTCCATGCGGCTGGTATATTTATAAACTCCATGTGTATATTAGACAGTTGCGTAATTTACCCGACCATCGCTCAATGATTTTTCCTGGGCCGTGATTTAAGCGCTAAGGAGGGCTATCTTTCTTTTTTGGGCTGTTCATTTCTCATTCCACTCTCACTAAGGGCTCGTTTACTTCCACAGGCAGGATATGATAATTTTCATGCTATGGATTAAAAATTACTGTTCTGATTTTTCTTATCCTTTGTTTACCAAACCATCAGAACTTATTTTTTTTTTTTTTATTTCCTATTCATTAAACTAAACATTACCTTTTTACTAGGGTCTATGAGTGAAGTGAGTTCAAACATTTGATGCTCGAACTTAGCTCATTAACTAAACTAACTAATAATCAAGTTTCAGTTCAACTATTTAGCAATATTAACGATTCGAACTCGAGCCTTAACGAAATAACTGAAATTAAAAGTTTAAGATTTTACATAGAACCCCTATTCTCGAGCATAACAAACTTTAATGAATCTCAAACTCAGCTCGTTAACTAGATGAGCTTAGCCAACTAGCTAAATTTGAGACATATAATGAATCGAGTTCATAAACGAAATATTTTGTTTAACAACTTCAATTTCTACATTGGTAGTTGATAGTTTAACTTATTCTTATCCGCCTACTAAAACAAAAATAAAATAAAAAACCAAAGAAATGGAAAGAAAGAAACTTATAATTATCCTTGAATTAATATAGTTTAAAACTCACCAACAGTTCTTTTATTTTGTTTGATTCCTTTTGTTTTACATAAGAATATAGAGAGTCGTGTTCTCAATTTATTTATAACTATAATGAAATAACTAATATATAATGAAGCGATTTTACTTTAGGCTTTAAAAAACACTAACCAATATTCAAATTCAAAATAGTTTAATCAATTCAGAGTTTGTCGCACTACCCTGCAGTTGTGGGTTTTTAGGCATTGATTCACACATATACACACTCATATGGATGCGTGTGAAATCAATGACAAATAACCCACAACTGCAATACAATTGTAGATAACATCGAATTTACCCTATCAATCATCCCACTCATTAAAATTATAACTTTTTACATGTTTCAAACAATGATTAATGAAGATTCATCAGAAGTCAAGTTTGTCATCTAGTGCCAAAACATTGGAGTGGACCTTCGAAACCTAGTAAAAACATAATGTGAAAAGATTGTAGCCATCTAATGATATTACTCATCACGATAAAAGTTTTGTTTTGTTTGACTTAGACATAGGGCGGATCTAGCAAAAATATTGAGGGGGGGCCAAATTACTTAATGAAAAAATTATAAAATATTATAACGAATAGTGCACATACAAAAATATACTTTCATAATCGTTCTTTATCAGTTTTTATGACCTGATATCGCTCGATAATAACATCATTACTAATTTTCAAAAAGGTTTCATTTTCTACATATCACACTTTAAAAAGAATAAATTTACCATTACCTAAAAATTAAAGAAAAATAATTTTTACCTCCATCAAAATAAACATAAACGAATTTTGTTACCTCGTGAGTCGTCCTCGTGAGATTTTTCAAAATTTTCAAATTTTGGAGGAATATTATGAAATTTTAAGTTAGAGTTGGTATTTGAAGTACGATTTGTATATAATTTTTTTTTTTTTAAATCCAATAAATTTTAAAAAGTCTTAACAAATCCTAGTTTCAAATAAGTTAAATAACTCATAATTTCGTAATACTTTTTAAAATCGCAAATGAATAACTCAAGAATTTTAAAAGTCTTAAAATGTCTAAATTAAACACATCAAGATTTCTGAAGTCTTAAAAGTCTTTACCCTTAAAGTCTGTCACGAATCTATATATACAGACATGTCGACATAGGCGTTGGTCGATTGAAGCGTTCATAAGCCTTATAAATTTCAACAAAAAGAAAATTTATTCTACAACAATTTATTTATTTATTTTTTTTAAAAGAAGAACATTTGGAATACATAATTCACAAAACAAACAAGGCCGGACATTGAGACTAGATTTTCTCTTGCATTATTTTGTTGTATATCATTAATATGTAAACTATATTGCATGATGAGTTGTATATAAAATTTTTAAACATAAATTAAAAATATTCATCTAAGTCAATGAACATTGACAATAAATAAATAACTAACTAAAATAATACACGTATGACGTAAGTCATTACGTTATAGACTATGATTGATATATACTACATACTACATACTACATATTATAAAGTATAAATTATATATTATATAATAAATACTACATACTACAATTCAAAATACTCTATACTACATACTACAAACTATATACTATATATACTTTATATTATACACTATACATTTCACTATGACATAAATCAAACGTAGACGACCAACTTAAATTGGCCTGCTTTTTTTCTTCTCCTATTTCTCGTTTTTTTGTTTTTTCATGCATACGAACAATCCGGAAAACGTGTCTCGCAGTTGACTTAATTCATCCAGTTTAGAATGTCTATAGAAGGCGGCGTTCCTTCCGCAGATGAGTATTATGAAAATAATAATTATGAAATTGGGTCGCTTTTTTTATA